GGACTTGTAATATTAGACAAAATTATACACTATATAATTTTAAACAAAATTTCAAAAGTTACAAACAAATTCAATAAACAAACGCACAATTTGTGCACCGGTTTACGTTTGGTGTTTTTATCCTATTTACAGCACACATGGCCGACGGCTTACTTCATTTCCCAATTAGTTAATATTTAATTATCAATTTAATTATAAATTTATTTAAAAAAATTACTTACATCTCTTCTCAAAGCTTGGCCAATCATTCCGGCGTCAACACTGACGAAGACATTTCTTGAATTTCCATCATCAAAGACAAAAGCCCTTGAAAATTGTCGAAGGTGGATTCCTGTGCCTTTTTGGGCTATATTTGCATAACCCATCTGAAAAATAGACAAAAAATAATTAGAAATAATTGTATAAATAATATAGAATTTAAATAATTTATTTTTCGCAATATATATATTTAAATCTATCAATCCAGCGTCTTTTTCCAGCTATTTCCATCTATTTATTCGATATTTTATTTTTCATTGATAAATTTTCACAAACGGAAATTGAAAATCTAACACGTTTTCCATACAAAATGGTCAATCTATGTGGATTGATGAAAAATGACCGGATTTATACGAAAAAGAGATAAATTTGCTATTGAATTTATGAACTATTATGTAAATAGAGAGATGTTCGAATATATTGGTATAAAAAGTTCATTGTTATTTTATAAAAAGAACGTGATTTGATATTTTAAACAATAATTCAAATATTGAAGTGTATAAGTTTTTTGTGTTAACTTTCACTAATTGTAAGATTAACAAATAATATCTTTCTCAAAACTTATCTTGAAAAAATCTGAATTGATTTTTTTTACACAGAATTTATTGAAAAATAAGTCATTGATTTTTTTAGTTTTATTGATTAGAATATTTAGAAATATATTCATATATATAGAAATTCAAAATAGTCAAAATTTACTGTTTTAAGTTTGTCTATTTTTTTCTTTACTGGATAAATATAAACTGAAAAATTGTAGTTTTTATTCTAAAATTCTAACAAATATGTACTGTATATATTTTTTAAACTGTATCTTATTTTCTGTGATTATTTTTAATTAATTAAAAAGTATGAAAACTAAACTATATTTACCCTTTTTTTAATTTTTTTTTCATACATATTCATTGATTTTTTTTTTTAGTTTTATAGAATTTGCTAGGTAGAAGTTAGTCAAAATTCACTATTTTATATTTGTCTATTTTTTTCTTTACTGGATAAAAATGAATTTTTGATACAATGAAACTTCTAAATAATTTTTTGAATAAGTAAGGCAAAACACAACTGCATTAGTTAAAAAATAATAATCTGTCAAATTGAATTGATTCGTTAAATATAACCAGAAAAATTGTAGTGTTTACTCTGAAAGTCCAAAGATTATATTTTTTAAACTGCATTTCGTTTTGTATGAATTTTATTTAGTTTTTAATATTTATTAAAACTATATTTACTAAAATTTTCTATAAACAATTTATATTTATAATTTTTTTCGTACATTTTTATTGCAGAAACTAAAGTTCTGGAAAATTTAGAAATATTACTTGTTTTTTTAGCTATTATTTTCAGAATTTGATCCACTTGTGAATTGAATTTACTAAAATTATTATATACGATTCTGAGAATTTTTTTTACTAAAAATCTGAGAAAAGCAAGTTTTACTTTGAAAGTCTGAACGATGGTACTTTTTTGCTTATTTTGGCTCTACATTAAATTCTTAGTGATTTTTTGAGAAACTGTTTAAATAAGCTAGATAAAATTTATAAAAACTTTTGTGAACTACTAATTTTTGTATATTGCACTGGAAAAATACTAAAAGCCCTAGAAAACAAACTAAATCAACGAATTCAACTAATTCTATTCTCGAAAATCTGGAAGTCTTAGTGTGTTTTTTTCTTTACAATTTGGGCTGAAACTTTAATTCTAGCCAATTTTTCGGAAATCTAGTTAAATGTGCAGAAACTAGATAAAATTCATAAAAATTTTTGTTAATTACTAATTTTACTATATTGCACTGGAAAAATACTACAAGCCCCAGAATACAAACAAATGATCTTGTGCAATTTCTGGACTCTATACAAATACTATCTACAAATATTTTGAGGCTGTAACTTTAATTTTAGCCTTTTTTCGGAAATCTAGTTGAATGTACCAAAACTAGATAAAAGTTACTAAAATTTTTGTTAACTACTATTTTTTGTATATTGTAGTAGAAAAATACTACAAGCCCTAGAACACAAACTTATACTCCTTTTGAAAATACTAGAAATCCAACTGTGTACTTGTTTACATGTTTGAACTGTAATTCTAGTTCTAGCAAATTTTTCAGAAATTTAGGTAAATTTGTCGAAACTAGATAAAATTGACTAAAATTTTTGTAAATAACTCTTTTATGTATATTGTACTGGAAAAATACTACAAGCCCTAGAAAACAAACAAATTCTATTCTGGAAAATACTAGAAATCTAATAATGTGTACTTTTTTTACAATTTGGGCTGAAACTTCTATTCTAGCCAAGTTTTTGGAAATCTATTTAAATGCCCAGAAACTAGATACAATTGACTAGAACTTTCGTAAATCACAATTTTTTCTACGTCGTTCTAAAGGAAATATTGCAATCTCTAAAATTTAAAAACTATTTGATTGAATATTTAACATTTGAACTAAAATTAAATTTTGATTATCAAATTATCGATTTAGGTTTTAATAAACAATTCAAAATTTTAACTTCCTCCCAAATTTAATTATTAAAAAACTTATTTCACAAATTGATAGATGATTTTGTGTCAATTTACCATGTGTCCCCAGCCTAATAATAATCCAACAACGAAACAAAAACAGTAATAAATCACTGACCAGATCATATATCATTTCAAAGGACATCCAGACGAATATTAAAATTGAATTCTCGTATCAAATGCATTTTTTCCTTATTTTTTCTCATTTTTTGTTATAAAAATGACATTGATGCAGTGGCGTAGAAAAGTTTGAATAAATATTTAACTTTAGTTGAGTGCATTGAGGTTATTTCTAAAAGGACTTTGATAAATGGTGAATGATTTATGGTGGAGGAAAATATGAAGATTTATTTATATTTATACGAGAGATGGACGATACGAGTTTTGCATATGGTAATGGATCACTCACTATTTATATTCTTGAGAAAAAGCTTGTAGTTTGTAAACTATACTGTTTTTAGGAAAAATGATAATAATGAAAGTTTTTGTAAATTTTATCTATTTTTTGCATGTTCAATTAGATTTATATAAAGTTTACTAAAACTAGAATTACAGCTCAAACATGTAAAAAAGTACACATTGTTAGATTTCTAGTATTTTCAAGGAGTATAAGTTTGTGTTCTAGGGCTTGTAGTATTTTTCCAGTGCAATATACAAAAGTTAGTAATTTACAAAAGTTTTTACAAATTTCATCTGGTTTCTGCACATTTAACTAGATTTCCGAAAAAGTGGCTAGAATTCTTCAGCCCAAATTGTAAAAAAGTACACACATTAAGACTTCCAGATTTTCCAGAATAAAATTTGTTTATAGTATTTTCCAATACAATATATAAAAATCAGTAATTAACAAAAAATTTCCATAAATTTTATCTAGTTTCTGCACATTTAACTAGATTTCCAAAAAAGTGGCTAGAATTAAAGTTACAGTCCAAAAATATAAAAAAGTTTTAGAAACTTTCATAGAAGTCATAAAAATAGTTTTTTGGAAATTTGTTCAATAATTAAAAAATTAAAAAAAAGAAAACACTTAAAAAATTGTGAAACAAAATATTTCTTTTATCTAAATACCTAAAAATTTGTAAAATAAGGAAACTTGTATTGTAAAAATACTTAATAATAATAGTAAAAATGATTATTATAATATTATTATTAATAATAATAACAATAATATAAGGCACTTAAATTTGTTAAAATATCATAAAAGTACCTAAAATTTTGTTAAATAAAATAATTATATTGTAAAAGTATTGTAAAGCTTATTGAAATACTTATTAAATTTTTAAAAAATACTTGCAACAAACAAACTAGTTATATTTAAAAATAATTAAAATTAACTAAATATAAATAAGTTTATAGTAAATAAATTAAATAATAAATAAATAAGTAATAAAACAGCTAATAATTAATTAAATTATGTTAAACCTATAAAATATTGACTTAAACCTTATTAAAATATTATACCGACGGCTTGTAAAATTCATAAATAAATAAATAAATAAATAGTTTTTTGTTCAAGCAAAAACTGTATTTTAGAACACAAAAAAAATTGGATCTAAGTAGCTAAATATTCATTTTCTTCTACTAAGTTAATTATTTACACATATAGGGGACTTCATACAACTTGCCTTAAAATTCATTGTCACTTACAACTAGTTTTTCCTAATAAAATTAATTTAAAACCATAATTTTGCACCGTCCCAGCCTAAACCGGTAGGCCGGGATGTCGTTTAACCTGGAACGACGCGTCGTTTTAGGTTGGAGCAAGATTTGGCGTACCGGTTTGGGAAAAAATAGTTAAAATTGGATTTTTATTGAATAAATTGATTATTTTTAGATACCAAAAAGTTTGTGCAACTTGTCTTAAGGCTGCAATGTTGCTTGCAACTAGGTTAGATTATATAAAAGTATAAAAAATACAAAAAAATGCTGACAAACTTTTTCTTTGAAGTTTGCTTCAACGTTTTGCAGTCTTTTGCATAAGAATTTATTTTAAGGATATTATTAGTACTACAAAGCTGTATTTTAGATATGTTATTTTTGAAAGTATATATTAAATTATAAAATTACAAACACAACCAATGTTGAACAAAACAATCCACCTTGTGACTATAAATCCACATTTATTTTGCCAAAAATTAATTTTCTAAACTAAAACAATCTCTCTGTATTATTTTGC